TTCTGCCTGTTCTCCCCTTCCTCCAGCATCTCTTCCCCTTTTTACCTGGCTCCCTCAAGAGGCCGAGCAGTGCCACTGCAGACTTCTGCCAATAATACCTGCGTAGCTGTAGTCACTGCATTGTGATCAGAACGGTTGGAAGCAGTTTATTTGCTCTGAGGAAAGAGCCGGCTGTCTGTCAGCGTTTGGGATCCCTGGCACTGAGGGGACAGTTCTGCAGAGCAGGTAGAGTCAAAGAGGAGAGGTACTACATGCTGCATCAGTGAGGATAACACCAGCAGAGAGAGGGAATGGACTTCTGCTGATTGATTCTGGCTGCCGAAGGGAAGAAAAGAAGGATGGAAGAGGAGCGAGACTGGCAAAGGAGAGGGAGAGTCAGAATTTCTACTTGTGTATGACCAGCTGCTGGTGATATCTTTACAGATTGTGTTTGTGAGTATGTTTGTGCGCGATGTTAGTATTCCCAGTCAGCATCTCTGAAAGGTGCTGCAACTGCTGATGTTTCGCCTGAGTCACAGTGCCAGCTTCTGCTTCCCAAAGCGATCTGGATCCTGACAGGATAGGTTAATGAGTGCAGAGGGAGGCTGACACACTCAACTCTCAGTGCCCGTCGGAGGGGGGCATGACGCGAGTGCCTCAGTAAGGAAAGTGAAGGGGACAGGCAGCAGGAGGTGACAGGTTGTAAAGGTCTCAGCTCAGGTTTGATCTGCAGGCTTGTGCTTGTTTCAAAGGTTGGGAAAAGGAGGCATCTCTACCTCTTTTGATTTCTGCTAAACTTAAGCTTTTTTTTTTTCTTTTGTTGCTTGTGGAGAAGTGGGTGAAAATGATAAGAACTACTGTAGAACTGAAAAAGTTGCAGAAGAATTGTTTGTTGTCTGGTATCTTGCCCTTCTATCCTTTAAGGTTTGATAGAACAGAACATTTCCAACCATCAGGGTTTAAGAGAAACAGCATAGTTGAAGTAAAAGCTGTTTCAGGGTGAGACGACAATAAGGCTATAAGGCATTGCTCAGCACTGCAGAGGGAGCTGTCGCAAACTTCTCGCTCTCACAAGGCACTGCTGCAAAGGAAAGGTGAAGAGGAGCCGTATTATTGACTAAAGTTCGCAGCAAGTGAGTTATAACCTAACATGTTAGACATGCAGTTCATTGAGTCCTTTTTCCAATGGCTGTAGTTATAGTTCCATTTAACATCATTTTTAATTATAGTCAGAAAAGGATATAGAGCATTCAATGTCATTCTTAGTCATTCAATCTTTGCCTGATAAGTGGAGGTGATGTCACACTGTGTGAGAGGGAGGAGGGTAGGAAATAGAGTTTGGATGTGGCGTTTAATGTTTTATTTCAACTCATTGAGCACAGGATATATTGAACATAAAGCATTAAAGCTTCATTTATGTTACAGAAAAGAAAAGCGTTACTTGATTACTCTCACTTTTCCATTTAAGCTTATTTTCTTAAAATTTAACTTTCCAGAAACTGCTCAGAGCTGGCCTAACGATCGCTGCATCCCTAGTTTGTATGATTCTTCAAACAAGTCTCCCAGTTTATTTCCCGGCTTGTGAATAAAAACATGACTCCCACCTGTTAATTCTTTCTTTTTCACGCCTACACTTTACTACTTCTAATCATTAAGGAATTCCCTAAAAGAAACCACATCAGGTTAAAACCCCTGCAAGAGGGCGAATTTCGGAATAAGTCAACTTCCTGCCTCCAAGAAAACAAAAAGAGCAGGATAGGGGTGTTTTCAATTGAGAACAGCGTGTGTGGTTTATGAGGGGGAAAAGATTATTGCATCATGAGAAGTGGTTAGTTTTTATGTGGCATTTTCTCTTAAAATCTCAACCATTTGGGATGGTGTGGCTGCAAAAATGTCTAATTTCTCACGAGGCATAGAAGACATTTATCCTCAGATTTCTTGTAAAATACATATTTTTTGGCCACCCAATCAAATATAGGTAAAAAGAGAACATGTTAAAGAAATATATATTGAAATATGTGCATTAACTACTACGACTTAAGAGACTCATGCATAGTAGAATAAAGGTTGGTGCAATTGGACCAAAAGTCAACTTATAATCCAAAAGTTGCAGTTTCCTTTTTAGTTTTCTTCTATCAATAAGCCTCAGAGGAATTCACTTAAGTTTAATTCATCTTCCAATCTGCCAATCAGTTTATTAATGTTTGCAAGAAAGACAGGGTAAATGTGGCTATAATAGATGGTGACCAGATCTCTGAAATCAAATCTGGGGACATTTCCAGCTCATACATAAAAACATACATCTCTACAAGATGAAATTAGGAAACTGGGACAGTAATTCTTTGATTTATTTTTACATAATTATTTATATAAAGGGAGACTGACAGGATTGAAAACAAAACCAGAAAAGTAAATACAAACATTTATCCAACGTTTAGCCTATGCCTGAGGCTGTCTGTGGAGGCAGAGTCCTCGACATCTTCAATAAAGTGCAACAAATCCTCATTCTGTTCACATCTACATACCTATGAGAATTAGGCTTTTCTGGATTAACATGGATCAATAACAAGCAGCGGTCGAGCCTGCAGGTAAAGGATGATATACATTTAATGCTGTCAACTGACGGCCTCTTCATCCCAAAGTAGCAGATTCATTTCTCCCACTAATGGGCTCTATGTAGGGCTTCACTACTTCCTGAACCTTAGCATTATTATTATTATTATTGGTATTATTATTAATATTATCTCACCTGATTAAATACAAAAAATGCAACTTACCACAATAGTTGGAGTTACAGTCAAAAACAATGTAAATGAAGATTAAACAGGTGGTTATCTCTTACTCATTCTCAGATCATCCAGATCTTGTCTCATTCAGTTTTCCTGTAACTGCCTCTTATTTTTCATCAGGATCTTTCATATATCTTAGTAGTAGAAAAGCAGACCTGAGCTGGGAGCTCTGTGCTCATAATACACAACCATGATTCAGCAAAACAACTGAGATAGACTGAAACCTTATGATGCAACAGCCGTTAAACGTTTCCCCCCAAAGAGTGTTTGGGAGAAAAATAGACCTAGAGCATCACAGGTCATATTGATCACAGATCATGTTTATCTTTGTCTAACAGGACTGAATTCTCTAATGTTTCTAATAGTTTTCATGGAGCTGTAGTTTTAGTTCAGTTTCCTGACAATGAAAGTTGGAGAATAATATTAAAGTTTTTGTTTTAAACTCCCTATCTATCTATGGCTGGTAGCCAAATAGTGACCTCATCCAGTTTAATAGTCGGTGGTTTAATGAGCTTAATATCTGCCTCACATCACTGGAACCCCAAGGAAACAGAAAGTTATAATTTCCTAAAAGCCCCTATGAATTAAGAAAAAAAGCTTATTTAAATATAGTTAAACTTAAGTACGTCTCATCGAAATGGTTAAGTTTGGATTATTTTTTCTCCTACAAATAATTAAACAAATTAAAGGCTTCGTCTCTCCTTTTAAGTTCTATTTCGCTGCAATGAAAAATGACTTTATTTAGGGCTTTATACATCTTTTCCATGAAATGCGAATGTCTTAAAGGCTGTGCTTGCTCAGTCATGTCTGAACTAAATTTGCAGTCTGGACAGGTTATCCTATCAACATGTATATAACATCTGAGTGTTTAGAGGAATCATTTCCTCATCCCCTGCAAGACGGATCAGAAACGACACGGCTCTCTGTACCGTCTGGAGAATCAAAGCTTGATCAAATATTTGTGTTTGAGTTGTAAGGAGGTACAGGATGCCTGTTTGGACAGCATTGCCTGGCGAAGCATTAAAAACGTCTGAGTTAGAGAGAGAAAGCAGGATGCAGCTGGTGCCCAGATCGGGATAAAATGTGGTGCATTGATACCTGTAAGGATAATGGAGGATTGAGTACTAAATCCAAAAAACTGTTTATTTCTTTTGTGTGCTTTGATATTTCCTTTTATTGTAGGTCGTAGCTTTATGTTGGAGTAAAATAATTTATGACTCAAGGATATTTGCTCACATCAAGCTCTTTCTAGAAGTTTATCTGCACTGCGAGGACATTTAGAGATGCATTTTAACCGTTTTCTTTGCAAGAGGACATACAATGCAAAAAAAGAAACTGCTATTTAAAATAAAAGCTGATTTAAATAAATGTTTAAATTTATTTGGGATAGCATGTACACCTGGGATTATTTGGTTTATTGTGAGTTACAGATTTTTTTTGGCACCATCAACAAGCTTCTGACATATTTCTGGTTGGATTATCCTTATCAGCATGAGCAGCGGTTTCAGATGCTTAATGATAACCTCTTTATTCATTCTAAAACCAGCTTTGAGCTTTGCTTTGGCATCACCGTCCTCCTGGAACATGCATTTGGAGCCTACAATCTATCCATTGCAGATGAAATTTATTTGGTTAGAATTTTTTTTTCAAAATGAGCACGAATGAGTTAAATTAAACCTTACAGCTGCTCACATTGACAAACCAGATGAGCAGGGAACAGGCTTTACTGTCAGATTACACAAAGATTGAGCTTTTTTCACCAAATTGTAAAAAAAAAAAGAACGTTTGGAGGAGGCAAGCTGAGGCTTTGAAGCTCAAGAACAGTGTTTTAACCCTCAGGCATGGAGGTGTTAACATCATACTAAGGGCTTCGGGCTTTGCCTAAACAGGACAACACTTATTATCACCTAGACAGTCAATAATTGAGCACAATTGAATGTTTTATCAGACAAAAATAAGAACAAAACACATTTAAATTTGTTTAGGGTTTATAATTTAAACCCAATTTTGATTGATTGATTGATTCCTAAGAGAATCTTGAAGCTGATAGTAGATGTATGTACACTTCTGATTTCCTTACATTTCACCTCTACTAATAATTATACACCAGGATTTACTGATTGGCTGTAAATGATTAAAGTGGCCTCTATGGTCTAACTTATGTCCTGAACTTCCTTTGAGTGTTTTATTATCCCTACCATACTGATGTCATGTTGTGTCTTGTTGTTGCAGATCTACACTGACTGGGCCAATCACTACCTGGCCAAGTCTGGGTGTCCACGCCTCATCAAAGACCTGAGCCAGGATGTCACCGATGGAGTCTTGCTGGCTCAGATCATCCAGATCATAGGTAGGCGAATGTTGAAAATAAACAGCTGATTCAAATGAGGTCACAATATCTGGTTTTACTGTCTGAGGATGGAGCGACCACCCACTCTCTGTTTCACATGCAGTTTGGTCTCCACTGTAGCTGGCTGGTGCAACAGTCTGATATCAGGGCCAAAACGCAGCAGTTGTCCTTTGTTTTTGGGTGCTCTAGGGGCTGCAGCAGCGGAGATCTATGTCCCTGACAGCCCTCCTATTAATGCATGTTTCCCCGGTTGCAGCTCCTGCTTGCCTTTTTCCTTCTGCTTCTCTTCTCCCCCCTCCTTTCCTTTGTCTGGAACTTGTCTGCATCTCTTATTCTTTTGCCTACTCTCAGTTTTTATTCTCTGTCCCCATTTTTTTGTTTAACTTACTCACAAAGCCTTTTTTATTCTGTTCCCTGGAACAACTTACTGCAAAGTCTCACTGTGATGGTATTACCACTAGAAAAGACGAGTTAAAGAGATTACAGTTACAGAGCTGTAATCTTATTACTGTTATTTGTCTTAGTGAAACCCTGTTACAGCCTTTTTTATCTGATCTCTCATTAAAGGGACTACACTGGTAAAGCCTTCAGCCTATGGATAGAAAGGGAAGACCTGTACAGTTAGTTGTTACAGCAGCGCTGTGGGAGGTAGTAAAACTTCATGGTTTCTCATAAATGTGTCGCTATTCTCATCAAAAACAAATTTGCATGATTGAGATGAGCATGAAAGGCATTACAGATAAAGTTTGTGGTATACAGACGTTTGTTCATCATGGTTACACACTGTTTCCGTCCACCGTTTCTGGGTTTCCCAATAACTAAAGGCCAATTTATGCTTCTGACATATAGCCTCTGCTACAGTCAAATCTCTCTCTGTGCGTGACCACGGCCCCCGCGCATAGATTCTGCAACCGTCTTCGCACACCTCAAAAAAATCCTGATTATGTGTCGGACGGTCGCAAACCTGCGACAAAAAGCAGCTGTGATTGGTCCTTGGTATGCCTTTCCGGCCGTCTGTGGGGTCGTCCTTCTCGATTCGATGCAGGGGGTGCGACGAAAGGTTAATTGAGGAGGTTCGCTCCCTTAACAAAACCAGTTCCTTTTCGATGTCTAGCAACTCTAGATCCATCTCCGTGACCGTGATATCTTGCAGGCTGGGCCATTGTTGTTTTGGAAGATAAACACTCCCGTCGGCACCGCCAAAGTTCTTGTGGGTTCTCGAATGAGCTCCCCTTAACGCTTTGGTGGGAAACTGCTGTGCATCCCTAGAAATTCCAGACCGACGGTGCAGGGGCATAGCAGCAAAACTGTTTTCGCAACCCCAAGCGACATTTGATGCGTGCGGTCGCAGAAGTATGATCTGCCCTTTAGCCCTAAAGGCCTTGTTCTCTAGTTTACAGCTTCTATCACGGCAGTAGAGAGTCCTGGTTCTAGTTCACACACTTAACTCCTTTTTGTTTCACACACTCACGAGATTGAACTCGGTAATGAAAGGCTATTTGCTAACAAACTACAGGTGCTAATAAAATATTAGCTTTATCTTTGTGTTAAAGATATACCATGTCTTCCAAAATAACAATGGTGGCCTAATGACGAACTTGGTACTGATAGCTAAAGTTGCTAATTATCTACAGGTCCTAATACAGTCTTAGCATCATCTTTGTGTTGAAGACAATGGTGGCCTAATGGTTAACAGTAAACTTCTTACTATAGCTAATGTTGGTAATAAGCTACAGGCACTAATACAAAATTTGCTTAATTTTTTTGTTGGAGACATAATTCCGACACAATGACAATTAGCCTAAGGGCTAATAGTGGAACCAAGTTTCGTTTAGCAGTTTCGCAAACGTAAGTTGTAGCATTTAGTTTTACGCAAAATGAGAGGTTGATATTTAAGCAAGATTTTATTATAGTGGGCTGCTTACACGGTTTTTTTGGACTAAAAGAAACAAAAAAAGCCACATTTCCTTCCAAATGTCATGCAAATTTCTACTTTAAATATGTCAAAAAAAAGAAAATGCAAATTAACAGTGTTTCAATTCATTAGAGCAAATTAACCAGGTGATGCAAATAGGAAACAGAGTTAGCCAACTATAGAGCAAACCACAGGTCAGTAATGGAAAGAGGTTTTGAATGTGTTGCAATAATGCAAGTCGTATTTACTTCATCATGTCAGCGAGTGTTAGTGATGTCACATGCCAATTGAATAAATAGAGAGAGATGTGTGAGTCAAATGGCAGGACTGCAGAGGAAACAGCGGATCAGTCTTGTGAGGTAAACATTCGCTACATCAGGACTTATTGACAAATTTGCTTCCATCTCTTCTTATGACCATTTAGTTTTTTTCAAAAAAGTGAAAAACCACCTCGAGCTGCGTAAAAACTATTAACAAGTTGATTAGAAATTTTCTGTTCCAAGCTCTTCTAATGTGATACTTCAAAATGTTTATAAAAACCATTGACGAAAATACAATCTGTTTGTTGGATATTAATCAGAATATATATCTTGTAGGCATTATTTAATTTAAGACAAATTTCTAACCCCATTTTTTTTTCCTGTTTTACATTGTATCTCTGAGGCGTGTTGGGATACAATGGAAAGAATCGAAATCTAGAAAAGTAATTTTTCCTTAACTTAATTGTATTTGTTCTTGGATTGAGGAGGTAAAAGACACATTTTGCCAAAGAAAAAGACAATTTACATTTAAAATAGGAAAACATTGTCTTATTTCAAGTGCATATTATCTAATTATCATATTTTAAGAGTAAAAATACTCATGCCATTGGCAAACTATCTCATTTACCTACTCAAATTAAGGGTAAATACACTTAATTTAAGACATTTTTACTTATTTGAAGATTGTTTTTCCAGTATAACGCCCCTTGCCTGGCAAGTAGCTTACCCTTAAGATCTATTTTATTCAACGAAAAGCCTTCTTGGGCTTCTGGAACACAAGGGCCATGTGACATAATGATTGAATGAATGGGAATGTGTGAATTCCCCCATCAGGTTGTTTTTTGGGGTTTTATTTGGTAAGTTTAACCCACAAGCTGACTGTTGGTTTGGTTTAGATGAAACAACTTTGTCATAAGTGGAGTGTGCCTGTGGCTGCATCATAGACAGTCACAAAAACTTTGTGTTTTCCAGTTTGAATGAGCTGCGAAAGTCCACAAAGTGATAAATAACGTGTAACTAGACTGTCCTCACAGCAGTGGCTCTTACATAATCTTTTTCTCAGCATCTTTTGGGAGACTTTCTCCCACTCATTGTTTTTTTTTATGCTCCAGATTTTTTCCTTTTCTATTTGTCACTCTCACCTTTGAAACTTTTCTTTTTTAGGACTTCCTTCTTCTTTGTTTATCAGACCCACAAGCATATTTTCCTGTCTATTATGCATGAGGCTTTTCTTTCTCATGTCGCCTGTCTCACTTTTTCTCAAATTCTCTCTCTCTCTCTCTAATGCTGGATTGAAACTTTACCCTCCCTGCTCACCCGACACAGACAATGAGGCCAAGCAGGCCTGTCAGTAACTCTGTGCAGCAGCTGAAGAATTAGGCAGCTTTTTCTCTGCTCCACACCTCAGCACGCACACCTCCACACACGCTCTGTTTTGTAAACCTCACTAACGGTTCTCGCTGGACTTGTTGGTCTGAACTCAGAAGGTAACGGATGTGAGAATGCGGCGCCTCAGGATGAACTCTCACGTCTCCGTTCTGTTTCTCTCGCAGCCAATGAGAAGGTGGAGGACATCAATGGCAGCCCCAGGAGCCAGTCGCAAATGGTGAGTCTCAAACTTCTTAATCTTTAAGCAGACATTTATGTTGAGGAAATTTGTTGATGAGGATCATATCACAGATATTGTTGGCCGAAGCAGACAGCATACAGGTGAGGGATGCTGCCTTTAACAGCATCCCTCCATTCAACATCAGCCAATGTTTTACTTTTCTATTATTTATCATTTTAACAATAAAATATCATTTTCCTTATTTTTAATTATTGTAATTCAAGTCATGATCAATTTATATGATATGCTTAGATCCAAACCCATTGTAGTTCTCTCTAGATGTTCCGGGTCGTCGTCTAGCAGGAAGATGAACCTCTTCCAGGATTTATTCATTCATCTTCTATTAAACTCTGACCAACTATCCCAAACATGTTGAAAAAAAAGGAAGCTCTCTATAGGAAGTTGCCACTTTTGCTGCGAGTCGAGGGAAAAGATAAATTCTGGTCTTATCTGAGCCTTCCACATTTGCGAGCCTACATATGGAATATCTTTTTCTTCTTGCTGTGTTCTTGGGTCTTGATGAAGCTCACAATTCTCTAATTTTCTTCATAGAACAGCTGCATTTATACTCAGATTAAATTACAGAGATGGAATCTATTTAATGTCAGGATTCTGACGGCAGCTGGCTGTACTGGACTTATCGACGAATTTGAGTGAATGTGAGCTAAATATGTATGAAGGAAGACTTTTATGGTGAATATTAGCAACAACAAAAAATAACAGACACCAACCACATCTATTAATGATGCTCTTATCTGTGTTTGCATTTTTCTCACTATCACAATCTAATGCATGAAAGATTGTTTGTGCTTTTGCTTAACAATGTAAAGCCAGTAATTAAACATTACCATATAAGAAATTATTACACAAATAACTTTTCTTTTACTCTGTCAAGATACAGTGAGAAATTGTGAATTTTCTCATCAACATTTAGCCATAAAAGAAAGACACTAAGGTGGTGAACCAAGGCAAAGGGTCAACAAAAGGATTTCAAATAAAACATTTTTAAAAATATTTATTCATATGGAGCATCGATTCATAACACATCTTATCTCAAGGCACTTTACAGAGACAATACAGTCAGATTGGTTAAAAATGTATATCAAAGAAAATCAGTTGATTGCATCCAGACATTGATTTTCAGGGAAATTTTCCTCCTCGATGTGACAATTTTCACTTTCTGAAGTGCAAGCCCCAATATCTATAAACATTGATATTAATGGCAGCAGCGCAGCTGATATTTCATTCCATAATGAAGTTGCAGTGAAACAGAAATCAACCAGATGAAGCTGCTTTGACAAGATAAAGCAGGAAGAACAAAAAGTTAGGCGTGAAACTAAACAAAAACTGTAGAATGCGAGAATAGAGGTACACTGAAGCAGAATAAGGAAAAGTGGTCACTATGTCCTCCAGCAGCCGAAGCATATAGCAGCATAAATATAGAAAATGGCTCACAATAACCTAAATGTTTTGGAGGAAATTTCATGAAAGGCTGTTTGCCAATGAGAAAACACTCAGGTCAAGAGATTCATCTGTGTAGGTTTTAACCTTCAGGTAATTAGCATAACCTTGCAATCAAACAGTTCAGTGTGCAATTAACATCTGAGTCCTGCTAATGATCTGTTTACTGAGTGTGAAGCAGAGACACATGTAAAAGCTAGAGGACACTGCTCTGATGCCCTGTCTAAAATGTTCAATTGTAGATCTATTATATTTTGCTTTTTAGCTTTTCCTGCTGAAAGATTAACCTCATCCCCATTTTGCAGCCTCTAATAGGCTTTCTAGCTGTATTACTTAAACATGTAGCTCCATCCGGCTTCCTTGTCCCTGAAAGGAAAGCAATCCTACTGTATGATGTTGCCACCACGTTTTTTGCTTCCAATTTTACTTCAGTAATTGAAAGCCTTAATCTGTTGATGTACAAACCTGGAGAGGGCAATAGAAAAGGTGAAAAATATGAACCTGATCAAGGCACCGGAGCCCATGTTGCACTGCTCAGCGAATTGGTGGTGAGAGGTTTAACCGCATCCTTTAAGGTCAACAACCCAATTCCTGAGAGTCTTTACACCACTTTATAAAAGGAATGTCTTCCATGCATATGGCTGAGTGACGGTGTCTCATTTCTTCTCTTTTACTGAGGCGACGAGCTTCGTAACCACCGGCTGTCGTCATTGTGAGATAATTACCCCACACTTTAACTAGAGTTGAGTAATTGTTTATACAGAGTTGGTTTGCTCTGGCATCGGCCCTCCTTCCATTAAAGTGACTAAAGCTCTTTTAACTACTTCCGCTGGCTCCCTCAACAGGACAGCGTGGCAGCGTGTGTCTCCCAGGCGTCAGGTCCTGGTTGGTATTCAAGTATTCACTTTTAAATAAGGTAGCATGAAAAGCTGGGAAAAAATGAGCATCTCTCCATATTGTCCCGTCACTGGAATGTTTCTGAATGTATTTTACGACTGATTTCACACGGTTAGCAGTTTTCAGCTGTTTCCTTTTTTTTTTCCTTCAGCTGTAGCAGAACTTTGCACTCTGGTAGAGTTTCCTTTACTTGTTAGGGTCCTTTACGTACATTCACATTTAGGTGGTGCTGATTGGAAACAAGCTGAATCCAGAGGAGGCGAACTGCTGCAGCTCTGTTACGCCAGAGCCCTGAGTATGCGATTGTGTGCATCTGTGTGCAGTGTGGTCTTTGTCTCATTCACTTGCTAAGCCTATTGATCCAGCACCTGCTCTGAGCTTGAAGGGTCCAGCCAGCTTGGGATAATAAACTTTGGGCAAGCATGGTTGCTTTTAGTGTGGGAGCAGAGGAAAGGAAACACCTGATATAGCCTCATCTATTCACATATGTATGTAATTGTTGTGGCAAAATATTTTAGCATCGTGATGCAGAAACAAATAGTTGACCAAACACAGAAATTACAATTTTTTTGGGATAAGCATGTTAACAAGTAGTTTGTTTTTTTTAAACTTAAATTAAGGCTCACTTTCCTGACTATAAATGATCCATTCCAGAGTGAACAGCTGAGAAAATTAAAAATGCAGAGCAGTGGTGTTAAAAGCTTACATGCAACCATTTCACAAAAAACACAAAGCTGGATGAATTTTATTGATATTGATTATGATATACAGACACAAAGCGGAACATAACTGGGATGAAAAAGTTTTAAATACGGAAATCCATCACAATCAACTGCCTTTAGAAATTTAAACACGACCCCACTGGAGTGTAATTTAATATCTATATGAATCCAGCTGTTCTGTGGACCCAAATTTTTGTCTAAAGCTGGATCCTCTTCAAGCACACTGCAAAAGAAGTACAGCAATGACAAAAATATGTAAAAAAAAAAAAAAAAAAAAGGGAAAGAGTTTCTGTTTTTGTCAGGAAATATTTGAATGGTATTAAAGCAACACTTTAGCAGAGAAAAGTAAGGAGAACACCAAACTAATTTTATCAGGTTGAGGTATCTAGCTTTTCATTGAATGTTGATTGAGGCACGTAAAGAGCCTTATTTCCCTTTGGCATAGTGACTGTTGTTTCAGTAGGCCAATGCTAGCCATGATACGTGCTAGCATTAGACGCTAAAGACTGTTTCAAATGTTATGTAGGATTAGTTTGTCAAGTTTTGGTTGTGGTTTGAGGACCCAACTGCGGAGGCAGAGAGGCTGAGGAGATTTTTTACAGTTTAATTGATGAAAACAGTTAACGAAGGCAGGAATCCAAAAATCCAACTTCATTGAGACATCAGGGGAAACCGAACTCGAGGAGCCAGAGAGACAAGTTAGGAAGAAAACAGCATTGAGAAACCAGCAACGACAAGGAACCAACAAGGAGTGACAGCAGAGGGAGAGTATATATATATATATATATATATATATATATATATATATATATATATGACTGAGACAAAGGCAGGGCTAACGAGCAGATAAGGAACAGGTGTAAGAGGAGACAATGATGGAGCCAAGGGGAAAGGAACACACACACAAACACGAGGGCAACAGCGGACAACAAAGAAATAACCTGAGAACTAAAATATATCGAGAAAGTACAACAAAATAGAAATTAAACCAATAAAACTAGAAAATATGGAGCAAAGTAAAGCATAACAGAACCAAAACTATGACAGTTTGTCATTGTAATGAAGTTACAATAAATATTAGTTTCTTTTTTCAGTGATAACTTTCTAATACAGTTAGCATAAATGATTAGTGCACATGTTAGTACTAATCCTAATCTGTAAAATCTTTACATTACTAGAAATCAGATTATCTATAATTTTGGGATTATTAGACTTCCACACATGCACATGTAGTAGAAAAATGTATTCAACTATTGGCCCCAGTTAAATAAACGGAGATCGATGGATTTCACTCATTCGGCACTTTATTTTATCTTTGCATAGAGAGAACCGTTCATCATATGACCCTTATGGCACGGTAATCTGCCCTGTTCTGATCTAGACAGAGTTTTTATCCCTTACTTATACTGAGGAAAAAGCTGTGAAGGTTGTGTCAGAGTCTAAACAAATTACACACACTTGGGTTAAACAATAGCAAGTCTTGAGAAAGAATTTGGCTTGTTTTTGAATAAGTATTCCTTGTATGCAAAACACTTCTCATTTTGTAGCCTTGCAGGTGAAACAGACTAAGTAAAAACATTTTTCACTGGATAAATAGCGTAACCAAATATATGAAACAAGAGAAATCTAAATTTTCTGACCACACATCTCTTGTTTCCGGCACCAAAAAGCATTGCAAACTGATCCAGACTAGTTTATAACATTGAAAAAAAACAAAAGGGAAAAAAGACACCAACATAAGAGGTACAAATGCTGAGTATTTACTGACAGTCCTGTGTTGAAGGGGAAAAAAACATAGCTTCAGTACATTATAAACTTCTCACATAAAAAAACAAACAAGCAGGGAGTTCTGGAAAGCTGCCATTAGTAACCTAGCACCATGAGTCCTACGGCTGCGGTATCACAGTAGCAACAGCT